AGCCTACATCTAGGAGCAAATTTTTACCCCTCACACATCAGATAGAGCACTAATCTCTAGCGGATATTTTTAAGTTCTGTACTGAACATCAAAAACAACAATAAAACAACAACAACAAAAACCAACCAAACAAACAACAACAACAAAACAAATAACCCAATCAGTAAATGGGCCAAGGACCTGAATAGACACTTCTCAGAAGAGGATATACAGTCAACAAACATATGCAAAAATGTCCATCTCTAGCAATTAGAGAAATGCAAATCAAAGATTTAATCTCACTCCTGTCAGAATGGCAGCTATTATGAAGACAAACAACAATAAGTGTTGGCGAGGATGTGCGGAAAATTTAGGCACACTCATACACTGCTGGTGGAACTGCAAATTGGTGCAGCCAATATGGAAAGCAATATGGAGATTCCTTGGAAATCTGGGAATGGAACCACCATTTGACCCAGCTATCCCTCTCCTTGGTCTATACTCAAAGGACTTAAAAACAGCATACTACAGAGACACAGCCTCATCAATGTTTATAGCAGCACAATTCACAATAGCTAAACTGTGGAACCAACCTAGATGCCCTTTAGTAGACGAATGGATAAAAAAAATGTGGCATATATAACAGTTTTACTCAGCAATAAAAGACAATAAAATCATGGCATTTGTAGGTAAATGGATGGCATTGGAGAAGATAATGCTAAGTGAAGTTAGCCAATCCCAAAAAACAAATGTCAAATGTTTTCTCTGATATAAGGAGGCTGATTCATAGTGGGGTAGGGAGGGGGAGCATGGGAGGAATAGAGGAACTCTAGATAGGGCAGAGGGGTGGGAGGGAAATGGAAGGGGCAGGGGATTAGCAAGGATGGTGGAATGTGATAGACATCATTATCCAAAGTACATGTATGAAGACACAAATTGGTGTCAACATACTTTATATACAAACAGAGAAATGAAAAATTGTGCTGTATATGTATAATAAGAATTGTAATGCATTCTGCTGTCAGAATTTTTTTTATTGATTAAAAAATCAATAAAAAAGACAAAAAAAGAAACAAAGTAGCTCAGTGGCAGAACACCTACTTAGCATGCCCAAGGCCCTTCCAATCCCCAGAACCACAAAAAATTAAATAAATAAAAATAATTTGTTCACTATTGAATTTTTTCTATACTCAGGATACTACAGGTATAAAATATGGTTTCATTTTTCCTCTTTTTTGAACTCAAAAATGAATGGAATCATGCTGTATGTTTTCCTTGTCTTTTATAAAATTTGAAATTATGTTGCATAGTAGCTCCCTACCTCTCATTCATGGTTTCACCTGCCATGGTTTTAGTTACCCATGGTCAACTGTGGTCTGAAAAAAAAATATATATATACACACACACACACATATATATATATATGTGTGTGTGTGTGTGTGTGTATAGATAGATAGATAGATAGATAGATAGATTTTTTTTTTTTTTTTTAGTACTGGGGATTGAACTCAGGGGCATTCAACCACTGAACCACATCCCCAGGCCTAACAGGGTCTCAGTGGGTTGCTTAGCACTTCACTTTTGCTGAGGCTGATTTTGAACTCAAAATCCTCCTCTCTCAGGTGTGTGTGTCACTGTACCCGGCTACAAATTAAGAAGCTTTTAATTGATAACCTTGTTTGAAGTCTTAAACTTTTACTTTTTTTGGTGGTACTGGGGATCGAACTCAGGACTTTGCATATGCTAGGCAAGTGCACTACCACTGAGCTATATCCCTCCCGGTCTGAAAATATTAAGGGAAAATTACGGACAAAGTAATTATTTTTTTATTTTTATTTGTTGTGTTTAGACATACATGACAGTATAGTATATTATGACATATTATACATACATGGAGTACAACCCATTCCAATTAGGATCTCATTCTTGTGTTTGTATATAATGTGGAGTTACACAGTTGTGTATTCATTTATGAGCAAAGGAAAGTTATGTCTGATTGATTCTACTGTCTTTTGTATTCCCATGCCCCCTTTCTTCCTTTCATTCCCCTTTGTCTAATCCAATGAACACCTATTCTTCCCCTCCCTACCTCCCTTGTTGTGAGTTAGCATCACATATCAGAGAGAACATTGGCCTAATTTCATTCTTCTTTATGGCTGAGTAATATTCCATTGTGTGTATATGTCACATTTTCTTTATCCATTCATCTGTTGAAGGGCACCTCGATTGGTTCTATAGGTTGGCTATTATGAATTGAGCTGCTATAAACATTGATGTGACTACATATGCAATTCTTAAGTATAAAATTACAGTTTAGTGATGAAATCTTGTGTCCTCCTCTATCCAGAGTAGCATATCCACACTATATATACTACCCACTTTATACTAGTTGAGAGAAAAACTATTCATATAACTTTAATTACAGTATATTTTTATAATTATTCCATTTTATTATTGGTGTTGTTAATCAACTTGCCTAATTTATAAATTAAACTATATCACAGTCATGTATGTATAGAAAAAAACAATATATACAGTGTTCAGTACTATCTATGATTTCTGGTACCAATTGTGATGTTGGAAAGTATCTCCTTGTTGATAAGGGGGACTACTGTATTTCACTGTATGAAAATACAGCAATTTAAATATCTAATCTTCTGTGGATGGATGAATAGTTGTTTCCATTTTTTCCCTTTTGTTACATTTCCATAAACATTCTGGTATATGTGTACTGGTATATATGTGCATTAGTGCAAGAGTTTCTCTAGGTGTATATCTGATGAAGGCTGACTCATAGGGTGCATATATCTTTAAGTAATGCTGAATTGTTAAGGTGATGGTGTAGATTTACATTTTCATTGGCAGTGGAAATTTCTATGAATCTATGTCTTTGCCAATTCAGTTTTTACTAATAAGGTGGGTACATTATCTCTTCTTGGTTGTAGTCCACATTTCCCTAACTACCATTGTGTTTGCCCATTTTTCTATTGGGTTGTTAAGCTTTCTTTTTGATTCATAGTTTTATTTACATATTCTGGATACTAATTCTTTGCACACAGGTATCTTCCCCCATTTATTGCCTTTTATATTCATTAATTATGGTGACTTCATTATGTATCTTTATATAATTATGGTGACTTCTATTATGCATCATTTTTTCTGTCATGGTTAATACTTGTTGTGTCTTGTTTTAAAAATCCTCCTCTTTCTTGGGGCCAGAAAGATCTCCCCTGTTCTATTTTATATGTTTTAAAGTTTGCCTTTAATATTTGTTTAACAAATTAAAAAGTAATAACAAGTATATATTTGCATGTCCCTAACAACATAACTTCAAAATATATAAGGCAAAGGTTTACAGACAGTACAAGAAATTGATAAATCCACAGTAAAGGGGAGGATCTTTACATGGATTTCTCAGTAATTAACAGAAAGTCAGACAATAAAATTAACAAACTTGACCCAATTAGCATACATAAAACACTGTAACCAATATCCTAGAACATCCAACAACTTAGAACATTCTTTTTAAACATACACAAGACACTGATCATATAATTATAATGAAAATGTAAACAAATTTCAAAGGATTAATTCACATAAACCAAACCAGACACTGTAGCACACACAAATTCTTCTAGCTACTTGGGAGGATGAGGCAGGATTGCAAATTTGAGGGCAACCTGGATAACTTAATGAGATCCTGCCTCAAAACAAAAAATAAAAAGCGCTGAAGATGTAGCTCAGTGGCAGAGCCTTGCTTATCATATATGAGGCCCTGGGTTTGATCCCTAGTACCAAAAAACAACAACAAAGCAATAACTCACCACGAACAGCCTATTTATATTTTTTCTTTTTATTTAATACATTTAAATCATAAATCAAAACAAGATAATTAGAAAATGTATTTGGAAATTTTTAAATATTTCAAATAATTTGTGAGTCAAAAAAATTCATAATGGAAATCTGAAAATATTTTGAACTGAGCATAAATAAGAAATGACATCTCATAAATGTGTGGCTCATAGTTTAAGAGGAAACTTATAACCTTACACGCATATATTAGAAAACTAAAGGATAAAAACCAACCAGCTAGGTTGGGGTTGTAGCTCACTTGCCTGGCACATGTGAGGCAATCCTCAGCACCACATAAAAATTAATGTATTGTGTCTATCTACAACTAAAAGAATTAAAACAAAACCATCTGTTTCAAGAAATTAGAAAAAGAGTAGCAATTTAAAATCAAGAAAAGTATATAATAATTATATAGAACTGAAATTGATACAGAAATGAAATATGTAAGGAGAATGTCAACAAAACCAGAAGTTCTTAGAAAAAGCTAATAAAATTGACAAACCTCTGATGAGATTAGGAAATAAAAAAAGAAGATAAAAATAATATAAAAAACGAACAAAAAAATCATGCCTACAGAGCTTGCAGACATTAAAAAAGATAAGAAGAGATTTTAGGATAACTTTCTATCAATGATTTTGAAATTTTTGTTAAAGGGATCCAACATCAGAAAACCAAAACTGACATAATGGGAGGGAGAACTAACTGTAAGAGGAAAAACACATATTTTCAGAAAACTGGAAATTTGAGCACTGGTGCTATTTGACTGTATTAAAGAAAAAATTTTAAAGTTGTGGTAATAGTATTGTGGCTTTTTTTTTTAAAGTCTTCTTCATCTTTTGAGATACAAAGTGAAACACTTATAAATGAGATGATAAATGAGTTTTGCTTCAGAATAATACTGGATGCCGCAGAACTTGAGCCGTTGCCTGTAAGAAGCGCAATACTTGATCAACACTTAGTGTTTAAAACTTACCAGCGACTGCAACCTTCCGCCCGCTCCCGTACCTCAGCTGTCCGGTACTGAACTCCCGGTGGCGCTCACTTCAGGCCCGTCCCGCCCTTTGCTCTTGGGAACCAATCATCGAGCTCAGCTGGGGACCTGGGACCAATCAGCGATCTCAGCTCCGGCCCCTTCCCCAGGTCCTCGAGGGAGAGGCAGCGCCATGTTTCAAGGGCAGCGCGGTTGGTTTAGCGGTAGCGTCAGCCGAGAGCTGAGGCAGTTCTGGGGTAGGAAGATGGGTGCAGGAGGTGCTTGAGGCGGGGAGAGGAGCACCTCTCCTCCTGATGCCTCGGTCCTAGCGTGCCTGCTGGGCTTATCCTGTGCTTTTGTCTCCACAGTGGCCGAAGGGGGGACAGTCAGCGACTCGCGGGCGGCAGACTTCTTGTTCAGCTGTGACGCCTCGCACCCAGACACCCTGAGGTACCTGAGAGCCGCCTGGAAGTGCCTCTTGTCACGACGAGCCCAGAGTCAGGGATGGAGGTTGCAGCCCGCTAATAAATATATATGATAGAGGGAGACTGGAAACAGTTTTAGATGTAACTGTTTTTCATCCTCAAGGCCCTTGTCCATTTGACTGGACCGGACCGTCACAATAGCTTTCTAAGAGCTTCCGTTGCTTGGAATCTGTCCTCCAAAATCTCCTTTCGCGTTGCTCCCACATTATGTTTGTAAAGCAGAGATCTGCTCACGGGCCTCCCCACTTTTATTCCCCTTCTCCCTTCCTGATTACCTACAGATTTAGATTTTTGGCTAGAGCCCACTTTGTTTATTTCCCAGTTTCTCCCTCATTCCTTCCATAAGACCAGTCTAAGGTGTCACTGTGCCTTCGTGTTTGTCATTCTTTTTTCTCTAATGCCCTTCCTCTTCTTTCCACCTTTTTACAGATCTAGGAAGGATGTTGCTTTCTATATGTGAAGGCTTCCCTGACTGCCTGCCCATACCCTACCTCGGAATTAACTAAGTTCTTTACAGCAAAGACTATGGGTAAAATTTGCAGGCTGCTGGCTCTCAATCCACTGTTTTTTGTCCCGTTAAACAGCATCATCTGAGGTCAAGTTTCTAAATTTATATAATAATTGATGACTTCTCTAAAACTGAGATTTGTCTAGATGTAGGCCCCCAAATAAGCAATATGCCATGTTTTTCTTCTTTGTCAGGAGGAAAAAAAAAATGTAAGTCTGTCTTCTATTGTTTTATTATTTCTTTTGAAAGGTTGAATACATTCTCCTTTATTTTATAATCTAAGTGATTTCCTTTCTTTCTCTTAGAATATATGAAAGCCTTGATTACATAGAAGATAATGCTACAGTTTTTCATGCCTACTATCTCTCTGCAGTAGCCAATGCTGAAATTAAAAACTCGGTGGCTTTAGGTCATTTCATTCTTCCTCCTTCATGTCTACAAAAAGGTTAGCAAAGATCCTTCAACCAATCTCTGTTAGCCAAATCCAGCTAATTCCTGCTAGACAGCCAAATTCAACTTACCTTTGTTCTCAGATATTTTTGTTTCGTATCACATAATATAAATGGAAAAACCATGGACTTCAGATGAGATTGCCATGAGTATCTATCCTGGCTTCATTTATCATTCATACATTCACTGAGCATCTCCTATATGCCAGGTTCCAATGCAGAAACAGGGATTCTGTGGTGAATAAGGCAGATACAGATCTTGTTCTCAAATGCTCATTGACTAGAATCCAACGCTTATTAGTTTTGGGATCCTTGACAAGTTATTAAATTTTTCACAAGTTGTTTTGAAGATAAAATGAGATAATTTATTAAGGTATATGATGTGGTGAGCATTTAATATTGTCTTCTTTGCTAGTTTTGAATCTTTTCATTATGTTTCTGAATTTTTAAAAGATTCGTTATGAAAATAAACTCATATTTGAATTTTTTTATGCTTTCTTTATGCTTTTGTTTCAACACATTTTTATTTCAACAACCCTTTGATGTAGGAATGGCAAATAAATAAAGTATTTCTGAAATGTTTTCTTTCAGGTTGCCCTGCTTGGAATACCCTTTCTTTTTTGAGTTAACTTTAATATCCCATTTTTTAATAGGTCTTGCATTATTGCCAACTCTTGACCTACATATTACCCAGTAGATATGTGTCTATCTCTGGAAAGACAAATTGAAAGCTGTTTGCAAATTCCCACTGTGGACAGTATTAAAATAAAAGCAGGATGGGGTTGTAGCTCAATGGAAGAGCCTTGCCTAATACCTGTGAGGTACTGGGTTTGATCTTCAGAACCACTTAAAAAATAAAGTTATTATGTCTATGTACAACTAAAAATATTAAAAAACAAAAGCAAAACAAATTTTTAAAGTTCAGACATTTTCATAGAAGAGCATTTAGAAATTCCAAAGATTGGCTTCTTCTATACTTGCTGTCCTACTTAGACCTAATTATAACTTATATTCCCAAATCATTACAAATGCTTATACAAATAATGACTAAATAGATTTATTCAAAAACTATTTGTATCAATTAGTGAATACCCAATAAAGAATTTATATTGTGGAATGACTGTCTAATCTGATATAAAATGATCACTTCTATTCTGTCTTTGAAATTAGCATATTAACATGTTCTTAAATTTTTAAAGATGTGTTTTTAAAAAAATTCTACTAAAAAAAAAAGTATACATATTTATCTACTTGAGTATGGTCTACTGGAAGTGTGAGATGTGAATGTGAACCAGATGTGAATTTTAAGTATTTTAGTAGCCACATTAAAAAGAAAAATAAATAGGTGAAATTAATTTTAAGAATGTATTTATATGTATTTACATTTTTAAGAGTATATTTTATTTAGCCTAACATATCCAAAATGTTGAGGTCTCAATATATAATCAATATAAAATTATTGACATAATTTATTCTTTTTTTGATCCTTCAAAAATTTGATCTTCAAAATCCAATGTTACTTTATACTTACAGCACATCTCAATTTGTAGTAGTCATACATGTTAAATCCTCAGTTCCTATATTTAGCAAGTTGCTATCATACTGGACAGCAAATGTCTACCTTTTTGTTCTCTAGTGGGCTACTTTGGAAACTTTTGAGACTTATTGAAATTATTGAGATTATTGAGGATGATGACGAAGTCCTTTGACATACCGAGTATTGTAAATTTCTGCCTATTAGATATATTTTTTAATCTTTTCCTTTAATAAATTAATTCTTGAGAATCTCTGCTCTACAAACTCCACAATTTTATACTTTTAATTTTGACTAGACAGTCATCCTCTTTAATAACATTTGACCTAATAGAGATGCTAACAACTAATGAACAAATATATTCCAGTAGAAAAACAAACAAACAAAAAAACTACAACAATGATTCTCAAAATGCATTGAAATCATTTGGGGAGTTTGTTACAAAATTTCTGAGCTGCCCCTTAATGATCTGAAATCAATATGAATCACAATGTGAGTATTTTAGGTGAGTTTGATACCAGGAAATAAGGCTGACCTAAAAATTTCAGACTTCATGCAAAATTCAGAAGTTACTTTTTTAAAAATATATATTTTTTATTTTAGCTGTAGTTGAGCACAACATCTTTATTTTATTTATTTATGTTTATGTGGTGCTGAGGATCGAACCCAGAGCCTTGCATGTTCAAGGCGAGTGCTCTACTGCTGAACCACAACCCCAGCCCCCAGAAGTAACTTTAAAAAAATAGTATTGGACTTGTTTTTCTCACCACAGAAATAAGAAGAAAAATTGGTAGTTTTATTTGGGAACAAGACCAGGATTTTCTGATAGAAAAGGTAAGATTACATTAAAGTAGTTGATTAGAATCTGCAGTATCTAAATTTTCTTAAAGCAGTGTAATTTTAAAAATGTTTACTTGTGATATGTTAGCACTTATGAGCCAGATTAAGGAATTTAAAGGGTTTAATTTCATTGAATATTATGTGGTTTGACTTTTTTATAATAGCACATTGTTAAAATTGAGGTATTTTGTAAAAATAAAACTATTAACATAAGAAGTTTGAAAATTTTCTTCAATCAGTAGTATCAAGATAACAATAGGTGTATGGTATTTTTACCAGTTCCTCACTGCTGGTATCAATTCTGATTTATTAATTGCTGTGTTGTATCATTTGTTGAATGTTTTGAGTACCACTCTTCAATAACTGTACATAATACTGCTTTTTAGTTTTTGCCATCCTGCCTCAAATTTACCTTTTGACTTCAAAATCTTTATGCAGTTGCTAACTTTGGATAATTTGAGCGTAGGAAAGAATAATGACAATAATAAATTATGATACATTAAATAAAAAAGAATCCTTTAGTCCATAATGATACTCCAAAAACAGAAAAAGAAAAAGGACAAAAGGAAGACAAGGGAGGAAGAAAGGAAGAATGGGTAGAAAGAAGGAATGAAAGAAATGCTGGGATAAGGAACATTTTCATTACAGAATAATAATAGCTAAAAAATATAGGAGGGATGACAGCAGAGAAAAATCCTGATTTTATAGCCTCAAGCTAATAATCAATCTAGGCAAGGGTCATTAAATGATGCTAAAACCATGATCTCAAATTGTCATCCACAGATTACTTATTAATTTTAAAGGCAAGCAATGAATCTTTTAAATGGACATATCTGGAAGATAATACCTTATCAAGTTCAGCATCACCAATATTGGAATAACCTCTCATTATGTTCAACCTGGTGTGATTTAAGTATACAGTATTAGTTGTGTAGCATTCTTGTTCAAAGCATTTAATCTGAATCTAATTCAGGGTTAATCAAACAAATCCAGAATATGGATTATATACTATGAGTCAACTAACTGACCTGGACTCTTTACACAGTCATAAAAAAACAAAAAAGGCAAGAAGACTGTTCTAGATTGATCCAACAACCAAATGTGATATTTAAACCTCAATTGGCTTTTGTATTTAAATTTTTTAAAAATTTTAATATGACAACAGAATGCATTACAATTCATATTACACATATAAAGCACAACTTTTCATATCTCTGGTTCTACACAAAGTAGAGTCACATCCTTCGTGTCTTCATACATGTACTTAGGGTGGATTTTGTATTTTTGAAAACAACAACAGGAAGGTTATAAAAGACATCTTGAGAGCAACTGCAAAAATTTTTTGATGGACTAAAAAATAAATAATATCAAATTAATATTAATTTTCTTAAGTATGATAATAATATTGCAAAGATAAAATAATACATTTTTAAAGAAAATTAATATTAGGAACTGAGGAATGTAAATGTCACAATTTCTACCAATTTTTATCCAATGGTCCAGCTAAAATATAAAAAAGAGAGGGTACTCAGTGTGGCAAAAATCTGTCTAGATGAAAGGTATGTAGTATTTATTGTACTATTTTTAAAGTTTTTGGTAAGTTAAAATTTTTCCTTTATTGCCTGAACTCCACCGGCACTCCACACGCACTCCCCGGGAACTCACTCCGCCCTCTCCGGGGCTCCTCCGCACACGAACTCAAGGGGAACTCTGCGAGAACTCAAAAGTAGCGGGCACCTGAGGCAACAGGAGCCGCCCTATTGCCGGACAGCAAGGGTCTATATACAACTGAATACACAGCCTGTTTCAATCCAGCATCATCCAGTCACAGCAATTATACACAGCTTAACTTAATTATCATCATCTTAATGGCTCGCTGCCATCACCTCTCAACCACTCCTTCTGGCAAAATGCCACGCACCATCCCGACTCAATTGTGGCTCTCAACAATATTTCATATTCCTTTTATTAATTTTTTTCTCAAACTGTCATCATCTGAAAATAATAGTTCTTTCAGTTTCTTTGGCTAGGAAGTAATAGTATGTTGTACTAAAGATGAAAATACCCAATCTTTGACTTGTTTCCAAGAAGATGAGTGAAGATGGAATGGTTATTATTGGACAAAGTATTGAGTAACAGATTCATAGAGCTTAAAATAACCTTAAAGATCATTAATTTTTAGTTTTACAAATAAAAAACTTATTACAAATTTTAAAAAAATTATTGCAAATAAGAAAACAGAAAGAGAAGACCTGTTTTAGTTCACATAACCATATGTTAGCAAAGTGGAACCAAATTTCTTAGCTTCAACCCAATCCAATGTTTTTACAGCTAAAAACAGTATAACATGCTTCATTGGCTGTTGACTAGAAATTATATCATTATAAAGGATTTTGTCAATTCTTTGAAAGTATTGATCAATTTTGCCAATTAAAATGATTAAAACAGAGAACATATAAGTAAAATGTACTTCTTGAAATATATATATATATGTATATATATGTATATGTACATATATATGTGTGTGTGTATTCAAGAGTGATATATATATATAAATTTTTTTCTTTTTTTAAAAAAAGTACTGATTGAATCATTGGTGTGCTGAATTTTAAAAATGTGATTTCTTTTGCTATCTGCAGCCTGAGGAAATAGCATCAAATAAAATAAAAATCAGTGAACTAGCAACAGAGAACAAAAAAGAATTATCCAAAAGGTATTGAATTTATATACTTCACTGATACTCAATTCAATCTTTGAGCAGTAATTGTGTTTCTATTTAATTTTCACAGTCTTCCTATGAGATTGGTATTGTCATTATTACCATTCCTATTTACAGAAAATTAGATAATTTTCCCAAAGTTTTAAGTGGGGTAGAAGTAAGATTTGCACTGGGTCAGCTTAATTCCAGAGCACCTATGTTTAGCTACTCTGCTATACTATTCTTGCAGAAAGGAAACAAAGATTTTATGAAAGTTAAAATAACAGTTACATTAATATTACTTTTAAGTTAGTAGGGATTGAACCCCGGGCCTCATATATGTTAGGTAGGTGATCTAAGCTATTTCCCCAGCAATTTTTATATTTTATATTG